TTGCAGCCTACATCGACCTCAAGAAGGCGTTCGATACGGTGCATCGGGAGTCACTTTGGGAGATCCTGAGAGAGGAATCCAACAAGGATTATTGGACTAATAGCAAGCCTGTATACTGGTACTGAAAGTGCTGTAAAGTGTGGTGGGGGCCTGTCGAGCTTCTTTCCTGTTAGTTCAGGAGTGAGGCAAGGCTGTGTCCTTGCACCAACTCTTTTCAACACTTGCATGGACTGGATACTGGGCAGAGTACTGTTCAAAGTCATTATGGGCAACACTGGGCAATATCAAGGTTACAGACCTTGACTTTGCTGATGACGTTGCCATTCTATCTGAGTCTTGGAAACCCTAGTGGTGGCTCTGGATGCATTTAGCAATGAAGCAAACCCTTGGGTCTAGAGGTCTCCTGGACCAAGACCAAGTCCAGCACTTGGGGACTTGCTAGGAGAACCTGTTCAGTCGGTACGTGCTTGCGGCGAGGACATTGAAGTCACAGAGAGCTTTACATACCTTGGTAGTGTAGTTCATATCTCTGGGCTGTCAGACCATGAAGTCAACAGACGGATTGGCCTGGCAGCAGGGGTCATGAACTCTCTCGACAAGAGTATTTGGAGATGTCGGTACCTGTGCAGAAGGACCAAGTTACGGGTTTTCAAGGCCCTGATAATGCCTGTTTTGCTATACGGTAGCGAAACATGGACATTGTCCTGTGCCTTGGAGGCTCGTCTCGAAGGCTTTTGTAATAGGTCCTTGCGCCGGATCATGGGTACTGTTGGCGGGATCATGTATCCAACCAACGGTTGCACCGTGAGACTGGCACAGGACCTGTTATCTGCACAATCCGTGATCGCCAACTCAGGCTATATGGCCACCTGGCTCGCTTTCCTCAGGATGATCCTGCCCATGAGGTTGTCTCTGTTCGAGACAACCCTGGTGGAGGAGGCCTATGGGACGACCTAGGAAGTCGTGGATTGGGCAGATCAACCAAACCTGCCGTGAAGAACTCGAGAGACCGAGTCCCTGCCCAGCGTCTAGCCATGAGGTATCCTGTAGGTGGAAGCGAAGGATGGATGCGGCTATGCGCCCCTTTCAGCGTCAGCCCCCTTGATGAAGATGATGATGATGTTATTGCCGAAAATAACTCTGAATGACAACTCAAGCGATGGCACCCATGAAGTTCATGACGGACACGTGACGTAACAGTACATGATTGGTAGGATTAACGTGTCCCTTCTGCGCATGTGCAGGATTAAAAATGAGCTTCAATATTTAAGCCTGGTCTAGAGGTGCATTAAAAGTTGATCCTGGACGCTGCCAACGCGCATGCGCACTTGAGATCTGGATTAAACTTTAATACTGGATTAACTTTTATGGCACGTACTGAAGACGCCCTATATCACAGACCAGGAACATCACAAGAATTGATAAATTAAAGAGACAGTCCATTAACTTAAGATTCCAAACAAATATTTGAAACAGATAATCTTGAAGAAATGTGTACAGAAAATAGAGGTACGAACTTTCTTACTTTGATATGATGCTAGCCATAGTTTTTAATTTTGGGAACATTGGGAGGCATAAAGAATTGATTAATAATATGAATATATTTTTTAATGCCTTGTATTCAATCATGTAGGTACGTCTGGGATGAAGGGAAGGAAAAGGTGGTCTTCATAAGCATCTGAGAAGTTATATTATTATTTACAGAACACTTTAAACAATTAGGAGGCAAAGCAGTGCAGAGATAAAGGCATAAGATAATTAGCATTATGAAAACTTTAGTAAGAGTCTCAGTTTCATGAAATACACATTAAATATAATATATATTTGAAACCTAAGAGATGTCTTAATAGTTTCTTAAATATAATTACCAAAAACATGACATTACAAAAAAAATAAGAATAAAACATGAAATCTCCCATAACAGCGAATTTCACGCGCGACATTTCTTTTCTCTCCGACATGTTTACATGATAACGGTGGTGATAGAATAGTGAGTACGACAGTTTTTACTGAACATTAATATTGCGCCGTCTGGCAGCGGAGAGTGTCGTCTTCGATAGGGACACGGTGGATTAGGATTAAACTAAATACGGTATTAAGAGTTAGGGACGCTACAGAAGACGTCCTATGAAAAAAAAAAAAAAAAGAAGAGCAAGACTGTTACCCTAAGTGGAAGCCCACCTTATCCCTAGACAGTGGCATATCCTGAACCACATGTTTGGAGACCCTTAGGTTGCTACTAGCAGCATATAACTAAATAACAGCTGCTACGAATGGTCAAGGTAGTAACAATATGTATAATTCAATTATAATAACAAATTAATTATATCAATAACATAATGGAGTAACAAAACACAAAGGCACTTCAAAACACATAGCCACTTGATCCTAGCTATATAGTAGTAAACATTCTTGATGGTTCAGCATCATTTCAAACTCTAATTTTACTTTAAAAGTACACTGAATGTGATTACTCCTCAGACAAACCATCATACTAAATGAGGAAATTGTTTCTACAGTATTGTTTGTATAATTAAATTAAAGAAAGAAGTCGAAGAAAAGTTAAAAGTGACGGATGTCTAAAAACAGATTAACAAACAGGGTTACTTTTATGGGCCTATCATTCACATATTCATTGAGGCACATTTGTACCACTGAACAGTGCACATGTACTTAAGGTGTACATGTACCAGAGATTGTGAACACCTCTTTAAGGGTAAGTAGTAGGTCGTTCCGTTAGGAAACTTAAAAATACTAAATTCATCTTGCGAGCCAGTGACTTTATATTGTGAAATATAGTAACATACATTCATACATATAATGTGTAAGCATACTCAAACCTAATCAGTGTGAGTGAGGGAATGAGTGAGTAAATCATATATACATGCATAGACAGACAGATTGAAGGTAGAGGTTTTTGAATGTGCAAATCTTGGATATTTAACATTTCAGAGGGATTATCCAAGCACTTATACTCTAAACAATTGATATACCGTGATATCAGTTGTAATCGAGAAATATAGTCTAAGGGTAAAAATTTTGTTTATAATTAAAACAAAATGTGTTAGACATCAGTGTCATACAAGGCACTTAGAACAAATAGAGAATATTTATGGGTCTGAGGTAGGAATTGCCAAAGGAATAAAGGGGAATTCCATAAGGATGTCCATCAAGTTGGGGTTCTGTGAAGAGAGGACAAGGCCTGCAGTAAGGCAAGAATAGGACAACAAAATGCATGGGGCCAAGAGAAACAATGCATGACGACCATAGTGCAGAAGAGCCATCACAAACCAATCCATGGCTAATAAGGGTAGAAATGGGTGTCAAAGAAATAGGAAAAAAGAATCCAGAGAATGATATATGGCATTAGGGTAAGGAGGTGATTTTTTGGGAGGGGAAGGATCCAGGTAAGGACTCTGTTGTGACAAAATGAAGTCACATAAGCATCCAGCACGGAAAAACGGACAACAGGAAGTAATAATGAAAACAAAATAAATTGCTAGACATCAAAGGTCATATAGCGCTAGTGTACTGTATTGTGGGATTTTTTTTAAGTTCTTTGGTCTGTGTCTCATATGTGGGAAACCCGTCGTTACTGGGTTAAAGGAGTAGAAAGAGGAAGTAGATGGGGTAGGATAGGTGCTGATGAAAAGTGGAAGGGTTAAGGACAAAGGATGATTAGATCAAATGAAGGATATTATGCATCTGAGGAAGGAGAATAGGTTACCAATTGAAAAGGTAGGGGATTCTGTGCGGAGTCTGACAAGTTGGGGTTTGTGGAAGAAGGGATATGAGGGAAAGTAAGGGTACGGTCTTTGGCAAAGCGAGGACAGGATAGTAGGATATGTGGGACAGAAAGAAGGACATTGAATGTAGGGCATATAGGAGGGACAACAAGGAAAGAAGGGAGTGGGGATGCAGATGGAGAAGGGAGGATGGATGTGTTGGGAGGGAGTGGGAAGGATAGGCAGAAATGAGAATGGATGTCAGAAATCACTTTGAATGTAGGAGGGAATGGGAGTAGAAAGATTTGAGGGTGGATAAGGGAGAGGAGCATTTTCTTAGGTAATGCTTAAGAAGTTTTCAATGTCATCAAGAGTTTCTGGAGGAAAGATGGGTAGGCAGATCTGAGAAACAAAGATTTTCTTATGAGGAAGAGAAATATAGACAGACATCTGATGAGCAGAGGAAGTAGTAGAAGGGTCAGTTTGTCTGGGAGATGGAAACAAGTCCAGTACAAGTATTAAGGGCAGGAACTGGGCAGGAATAGGGTTGCCAGTGAGGTCAGTCAGAGTAGATAATGCACGAGATTGAAACTTGGAACTGTGACAAGGCTACAGCAACAACAGTTACGTGGGAATGTAGTGTGATTATATTATTCCAACCATTATATTTTCAAATTTGGGACAACTGTATTTACATAAACTAATCTCATTTCTGTGGATCTGCTAGTACTTTGCTGGTGGTGGAATTTATCACACAATGGCTTCCCTTCCCCTTTAATTTGCCACTGAATATTAGTTTGCCTTAAAAGCACATTTCTATATTTACCTTCTATTATTTATATCAATTTCTTAATCAGTCCAAGTATATCCACACTTACCCCTCTGAAGGATGGTAGAGGTATAAGTAATGGGCAGTTAAAAAGACTGATGAGTAATGTGTGGCCAGAATAGGCAATGAGTTTTCTGCATAAGGATAAAGTATTCAAAGACAATTTGAAACTTTAAAACTTTTAGAAAATTTTCAATAAGATACCTTCAGTTGCATCGAGTATGAAGAGGACCCTCTTCCTATTGAACAATGAGGCTTACAATATTGATTTTCTATTTCACTCAAGAGTAACTGCCTTTTAATTCATCTCAAAAAGTGAACTTTCATACTAAAAGCTAAGGTCAAGAGTTACTGCCTTTGAATTCATCTCAGAAAGTGAACTTTCAATTAATCTGATTTTTTTTACATCATTTGCATACTAAAAGCTAAGGCTAAGGAAGAATCTATCAAGGGGATTTTTTTAATGGTCATATACAATCAAATTTCAGCAAGGAATATTTTCAAGCATCATTCTCCAATGTCTATATTATTCTAAAACTATATGCAAATATAAAATACATTACAGCATATACTTTCTCCACTAACAATTTAAGTCTATGGTAATACAGAAACTATTAACTGAGGCTAATACAAAGAGATGCCAATTTGCTCACTCTGTAGTTCAGTGCTACTGCGTAAACATTGTATTTGCATATAATTAACTCGGGTAAAGTGAAACCAAGTGCATGACCATTGTTCGAAACCATTTTTTTTTTTTTCTTCTTCTTTTTTGTAAAAGCTTTTTCAGTCTGGTTAATATGGGGACTTCCATTCCACGTGTAAATATTTTCTTACCAATCTCGAATCTTTATTACATTAGTAAGGAACATCTAAAAACCATCAATGGGTTCTGAAATGCCTTCATTTCATTTTCCACATAAAAGGGAAATAAAACAAATAATCTATTATTTGGAGTAAAAGTATTCAGAAGAGGATCTTTTACACACAAATTTCTGAAGTGATTTTCAATAGGTATAGTGCTTATGACAGTTCAATCAAACTTATATCCACATCACGAGAGGAGAAAAGAATTTACGGATTTTCAAAGCCATATTTTTCTGAAATTTTCCACAATTATTGTCACTGCCAAATGATTACAATGCATTGGAATAATTGGTTGAGATTAATGATGATTTTTATAAAGAAAATAAGACCCACGCCAGCCTTCTAAGCCACACCCATGGACTGCTTGAGCTTTATCATTTCTCTCAAGTTATTTTGGCTCTCTGACATACTGCGCTCCAAGTATTCCTTGTTTGCCTGTTGAAAGGAAGTAAAAAAAGTATTACTGATATGCCATAAAAAAGAATATGAAAGACAATCTAGCTGAATACATATATACTTGCAGATATGACAGTTAAAGTAGCAATTCTGAACAAACCACAAATATCTACTTTCAAATGAAGGTAACTTGTGATGGAATTTTGGGACAAAAAGCAAAACAAAATTTTTATCCTTAGGAAGAATTTTCTTTTTATCAAGAAACGCACCTGTAAGCTGGTGATTTTCTCATTACACTTTTCAACTTTAGCTTTCAAATTTTCTCGAATCTGTGGGATATCTGTCAAAAGAAACATTCTACCCACACTATCGTACACTCTTGTGCTATCGCCCAGACTCTGAAAGGTAAATAAAAATTGTAATTAAACTATGACAGAAAATAGCACAGTACATTTACTAACATGTGGTACATTACAATAAATGAAACCTCAAAAATTATGTCTCAAACTAATGTAACAAATGTTTGACAAAATGAGGGGAGAAAAATATATTAATATCACTCATAATAATGGTAAAGCTAGGATAAGCACAAAGGTTCAGTCTACAAAAATCTAGTAAAAATACTCACCTGTATTTCCTTGTCTGTGAGTTGAGCATGAACAATCTGTTTTTGAGACTTTCTACTTGTACATCAGCAATTCTTAATTTTTGGTTGGTTTCCTGCATCTTTCCCTGAAGTTCCATGAAGGCCTGTGGATATATGTATATCAGTACTTTCCTCCATTTATTAGATTCACAAAGGTCTACTCTGGGTGGTAACAAAGTCATATAACTAAAACTTATTAGGTTGTCATAATAAACTGGCCTTGGGTTAGTAGTTCTGGCAAAAGTAAATTTTATTTTTTTTTCTGTATAACTTTGAACTGTTTTTCAAGATACCTATATTTTGTTTCACATTCTGACATCACATATATAGGTTTTGGGGCACTAACACATGAGAGGACTCTTGAATTGGATTCATATATGGCATCAAAGAGTTCAATTTTGGTCATAATAAACCAATTTTAAGATGAGTTACACTTTTGTGAAGGAGTCCAAAAAGTGAACATAGTCTATCTTTTTTTTCTGTTCACTCCCCTTAATGAGGATTCTACCTCATAAATTACAGATAATAGTCAAATCTTGGAATTTAGGCTAAAATGTATATTCCCAAGTATATTCTGGCAGGACAAACAGGTAAAATTCATTAACCATACTACATTTCATGTCATGATCATGGTGTGGTGACTGACAGGTAGGTTATATTTCCAACTGTTTCTATCTACATTAACAGCTCATGTTACTAACCTGTAGTGACTTACAAATTGTGGCCTATTTCCTATACATTTAATGACTGCTCAGTCTAAACCCAAATGTAACATTGTGAGGAAGGCTTACAATCTTAATTGTCTTCATACTCTAGTAAAGGTCAAAATACATTCCAGAAATAAGGATAGAACCCCCCTCCCACACACACCCACAGAATTTGTGTGTGCGTGACAATATTTTCATGGATAAACAAGTTTTGTTATCACACCACTTGTCAAAACTGAATGCTCTCACATTTTAGAATAATCTTTATACCTGGTAGATGACAGGTAAAGCCTACTCTATTGAAGGTTATTTATATATCTGAGCGATATCTTCCTTCTAATTCATATATCTTTTAAAATATTACTCTTGAATTCATAGTTACTAATGTCAGTACACTGTACATGTGAGTCAAGCCATGTGGACAGGTTGAAAAATAACTTGGTTTAACTGCAAGCAAACTTGGTGTTTATACCCCCTAAGAAATGGCCTTATTAATTTTCTGAAATATGTCTACATTCTAACTCCTCAGAACCAGATGACATGACCATTACATCATGAAAAAAAATTTAACTGATGGCCGGATGACCAGAACATGCTGTCAAGAGAATTTTGCCTGAGGGAATGACTTGCCACCAGTGCACAAAACAATAAATACATTTTCTTGTTGTTGAACTACTTCGTGTATTACTACGTGCTTGTCAAAGCGATATTTGGTTAATTATCTGTGTCTGCTGTTACACATTTATGCCTTTAAAGTCTTTTATTAATGTTATTATAATTCATTTGCATATTTTGATATTTATCTATACCCTCATATAGAGCCAGATCACACACCATGGCGCGTACTCATTTCAAGGCAAAACGCCAGTGAGAAATGTTGCATTTCCAGTATTGTGTTGATTCTGGGTTCTTTGCAAGACTTTTAAGAAAAAGGTGATTAAAATCGAATTAATCCCGACGGTACAAAGAAGCAACTAAAGTTTGACATTTCCGGATATAAAGGTATTTGGTTTATTACTTAACTGTGTGAATGCAGCTCTATCTTGCCGCACATACTGAAGTGGAGAGAATGTGTCCCAGGGGTGTTGGGGGCTTGCCCCTCATCAACCCTCCCTTGGGTAGTGCCCGAGGACAAACCTAGTCACGGCAATTTATATTGATATATTAGGTTGGTTTATTGGTTAATACGTTTTTGGGAGCTGTTTGTAACATGTGAATTCCCGCATAGTTTTGTGGGTTGCGTTCCTGTAGCGTTTTTTATTTCTGGCGTGTCAGCCAGTAGAATTTCAAATATGGCGGTTACACCCGTAGAATTTCACTGACCGATTTTAGGCGTTTTTTGTGCGTTTTACACATTTTTGATCTATATCTTCTTATTTCAGCCTGTTTTACCCATAATTTCCCTGATATACTCATGCCCTCCCCTGCTAATGGGACTATCAAATCAAGATCATCAATGGAGAAATGGTACTTGATCGCCTGAACGATTCATTCGCTGAAGAAAAATAAAAATCGATGAAATCATTGATTTCCTGCTGGAAAACAATTTTTTTTTGACAGTCTCTGAGAGAGTGCATCGCTCTCTGTAAAAATTACCTAATTAAAAAAATAATAATCACCGCAAGGTTGGATGGTTGCAAGGAACTACAAAATTAGCTTTTACTGTTTTATGAGAGGTGAACATAAAAACCATTAGTGTGATCAACTTTCCATGGAGGTAAATTTTCTAATAGCTCAGCATAACGTATCACAATGATGCTGGTATCGTTGGATTTCTATCAATGTCTACAATGCAAATACATGTTTTATTACACGGAAACCCCTACAAACACCCCATTAGTGACATGCTTGGTGCTGAGAGCATGGGAGGGCATGAAAAGTACCAGGGACATTGTGGGGTAATATATGAATGATATACACAGAATGTCACTATATTGTCTGCACCCCCCCAAGGGGGGCTGCTACCCCTAACCCTCACTCAGAAAAATAAAGAATCCTTTATGTATTCACAGCTGGAGAGATCATCAAACAGACTTGACAATGTTGCTCCTGTATGGTGGTCATACATTCTCTCCTGCTGTGAATACCTGGAGGATTCTTTGCTTTTCTGGGTAAGGGTTGTGGGGCGGCAGCCCCAATGGGGGGGTCATAGGGCACAGCCCCTGCATCAGACAATATTGTGACTGATTCTGTGTAGATTATTCATATATTTTTCCTTACAATTTCACTGGTACCTTTCACGCCCTCCCCTGCTATCAGGGTCAAGAATGCGAGGGTTTAGGGGACAATAATTTCTATAATTGGAAATTAGAAGAGTAAAAGGAATATAATACTACCAAAATCCTCACAATCCATTATATAGATCTATTAGCAAAAATTACCTCCAGGATTTCCATCGGCATAACAATCTCCGATTTTCATTAAAGAAGGATCAACATCTCACGAGGAATACCCAAAATAGCAACATTTTTTAAAGACTGTTGAGTGTGGTGTGTGTGATTCCATAAGTTATTCCTATGATGAACTGTATCCGCATCTCTGTGGGAATTACAAATAGAAAATACTCCATAAGGTGTGTCCTAAAAAAGGAATGGATGTAGTTCTTGAGCACACTTTCCGAAAGACCAAACCTTTTCAACACTTCATTCTTCTGTGTTATTTAGCATTCTTAACGCAATATTCGTCTGCCCCCTTTTGCGAGGCTTGGACGACTTACCTTCTTTAATTCTTGATCGGGTTCCTTCGACATTATGGAAAAATTGTTAGAGACGGCGAACTGGATGAATCAATGAGGGT